AGTGTTCTGTCTTACGACAGGTCCATTGCTCTGCCCAAAAAGAGCTCTCCAGTTTTCCCTATTCTCAGCTTCTCATTTTAATTCCTGGAACTTCATCTTCTTTCCTTGTTTCAGATCGTCAGTTAGCCGTTATCAGTCTTACGTACTTAAAATGTATTGAAATTTATAAGGATGAGACAAAGTTTCAAATGGTTAAAATAGAGTGTTCACAGGCTAATACACAAACAGCGATGAACTTAAGTAACTAAACAGGGCTTTATGAATTCAAGTGCCTGCACGTGCGCATACATGCGCACGTGTCCTATGAATGTAAAGATAGGATATATATTTTTTTTTTATTTGTAGTGTTCTGTCTGCCGACAGGTCCATATGAACAGGAGTTATAAATTCGGGCACCGCCGGGAATCGAACCCGAGACCCCAGGATTACAAGGGCAGCGTTCTAACCGCTAGACCACCGTGGCACGGGCACGGGCAGAAAGGTACTAAATATTTAAATATATTATTGTTGTTACAAAATTTATTATAGCCTCCAACATACTTGTGTTTCCAGAAATATTTTTTCCATACTTTTAGAGGAATATGTAGCCGACTCATCACAAGTTTCAAACAAATCCAAGATGTTACTAATCTACAATTAACTACCAAAGTTCATAACATACTATCACTTATAACTCTGAAGGTTTTCAAATTGTGAGGTATATTAACATATGGTTAAAAAGAAAATTTCATTACCTTTACAGTGAACCACTGGGAATGTTTTACTCAAGTACATTATCAAAGCAGATGTGACAGAAATTTAAAAAAGGAAAAGGCAAAGACGTTTGGCTATGGGGCAAACATGTATGCCAAATTTCATCACAACCCTAGACAACAATGTTGTACGGGTGTGTCGGTTGTCCATGGAATGAATGAATGAATGAATGAATTCCAACATATCCCGAATATATAATATTATAATAATCAGAGTTTACCAAAATCCCTGAAACTATTCTTTAAAAATTATCACAGAAAATCAACTGACAATTTAGAAACGAGTCACTAAGACAGTAACGCTTTTATAGCAAATACTTTGCATATGCAAAAAAGTGCACTAACACACAAAAAGTCACATTACTGCTTAGTCATTGCTCACTCGCTACTCAACGCAACATATACACGTTCATTCTGGGAACTTAATCGTCACACCTCGTGCAAAATTTGAATTATGGTATTCTGGACCACAATGCCACATAATACTGAAGGTGGTTACCAACACTTCAGAGGAACTTTCATCTACAACATCTAGACTTACAACTTATATTTAAATATGAGTCTAATGGTTATTGCAGAAATCAGTTGATTTGTAGAGTTTGTATTCTTAAGGAGCCAAAGTTACAAAGCATTATTCCCACACCACGTGGTTTAACGCGTAATTGAATCTCCCTAAGCGTGAGGCCGCCAGCAGCTCACATGGTAGCGAAAGTGTTCCTAAGATTTTATATCGAGGTCGGAGTAAGTGAAGGTACAATTTTACCGACTCCACAGCCCTGATTTAAACAGTAAATTTAATTACCAAAAGTCTAAGATATTGTAGGTGCGTCATATTGTGATTTATTTAAATAGTATTAAAAATATATTAAAATTGGCCGTCAATCACAATATAAGATAATTAAAAGATTAAAATATCATTTTTCGTTCCGTATCGAGTACTCGATTACTCGATTTACATATGTAAATCACTCGATACGGAACGAAAAATGATATTTTAATCTTTTAATTATCTTATATTGTGATTGACGGCCAATTTTAATATATTTTTAATACTATTTACCAAAAGTCTAAAAACAAGAAATACTGTCTACATCATGAGTGGTACACATGTCAAATAAATCTCATAATATGGAGAGTACATTCTATTAATTTATTTTTGAAGTCTGTTTCAGTGTTCAGCTGACTAAATGAATAAGCAAGAAAGCCCACTTAAAGAAAAAACAACAACATAATTTGGTATATACCTGCAGCGCACACAATCCACACGGTTGGTGTGGAAAAGAGTGGCAGGTCTCCTTCAAGCTGAACTGTCATTCAGGAAATAGTTTCATGTACATCTGAGATGCTCCATGTTGGTCCCATCACTCACCACTTGAAACAGCAATTTCTTCGGCAATGACTCTCTTGGACTGTCAACGGTAAATAACGCATGCATACAGTACATGAGATCTGAGGTTCTCAAGGAGTTAAAATTATCAATGTTCGTCTTCTGGGTTCCAATGCTATGTAGATTTGTAGACACATACTAACATTTCAGACATATTTCAGGGCTGATGATCGAGACAGCAACATTGGTACCTGTAAGTCCACGTAACGCTATAAACTAGATGACCAACATCAACAAGTATACGCAGGACATAGGAATGCCATTTGTTCTGCACACTGGGCAACAGTATCATGTATAGAGCAGCTCATTAAAATGCAAATTGTCTTCTGACAAGTATTTCCAGTAAGTTATGCAAATTCAAGACAACTTATAAGCAAAGAAGACACGTTTCTGTGGCTAACAAGAGGAGATCTGAAAGGGGGAAACTGAAAGTCAGATTATAGCAGCACAAGACCAGGCGCTAAACACTAAATATTACGCAACAAAAATACTAAAAACAGATACAGACAGCAAATGCATATTATGTCAGCAATTTGATGAGACGACAGATCACGTTATGTCCGGATGCCCCGTGCTGGCAAAAGAGCAGTATATACGACATGATCGTGTCTGTACTCAGTTACATTTTAACATATGCAGGAAAGCTGGGGTAAAGCTAGAAGAGAAGAAATAGTATGAACACATCCCGAAGACAGTGGAGACAAGTGAAGATGGCCAAATAACTATTTTGTGGAAACAACAAATCAGAACAGATAGAACCATCACAAATAATAAACCAGATATTATTATCAGAAACAAAAACGGAACTTGCCTCTTAATTGACATAGCAATACCGACTGACAGAAATGTTACTAAGAAGGAAACGGAGAAGATCTTGAAATACAAGGACCTTCTCATAGAAATACAGAGAATGTGGAACGTTCAAGCAAAAGTAATCCCAATAGTTATAAGAGCGACAGGAACTGTCTCCAGGACCCTCAGAAAATATTTGGCCAACATCTCGGGCGAACACGACATAAGGGAACTGCAGAAGACCGCCATTTTGGGATCTTCATGCATCATTCGAAAGACGATTTCATAAAATAAAATTATATACTACATGTAGCACGTGTTAAAAACAATGTGCATCCCGGAAATAGCTGCTGCCCTATGTACCTTAGGGACAAGGTCTGTCTAGGGTGCATGGAAGTGCATACCCTGTAGAGTGGTGAGTAGATGGGATAATAATAGTAATAATAATAATTCAATTCATTTATTGAATGATAATTCACAAGTAAATGGGCTAAGTAATATTCATTATAGTATTTTTCAGCGGAATTGGCGGCTGTCGAGTTCTGCTCTTTGTGAGTGACCAATCAGCGCAAAGAAGGACTATTGGTAAGCAGGGAGACCTCAGTCTGTTCAGAAACTCCGTGGTAGAAGCATCGGCAGCCGCACTGCATTGTTGCCAATTCTTACATGTTCTTTGGTGGGCAAATCAGAAGGGAAGAGTTCTAGATGTAGGTGGCAGGATAATATTAAAATGGATCATAGAGAAATAGGATGGGGTGGCATGGACAGGATTCATCTGGCTCAGGATAGGAACCAGTGGCGGCATCATGCGAATAAAGTAATGAACCTTCAGGTTCCATAAAAAATTGGGAACTTCTTCAGCTGCTGAGCGACTATTAGCTTCTCAGGAAGAACTCAGCTCCATGGAGTAAGTAAGTAAGTTTCATGCCACTAAGATTTGATTTCAACCATTCCCCAGCTTTACCTTAAATTTCATAGAAATTTGGTTTTGATAATAATGTCGATTCATTAGATTGCTATCTTCTGGGTTATTGCGCCGTGTAGTCTAGTAGATTTCAACCAACGTTTCAGAGGTCATACTGCCTCCGTCATCAGCGCGGAAAGGGCTAGGTTCCTAGGGACCGGACAGTAACTCGATTGGCAAATTCATCGCCCTGATGACGAAGGCAGTATGACCTCTTAAACGTTGGTGGAAATCTACCAGACTACACAGCGCAATATTCCAGAAGACTGCAATCTTCAGACTCACCGCTGTGAAAACCTCAAATTCTACAATGTCGATTCGTACAATCAAAAGTCTCAGTTATATGCCTTTTAAAAGGACACTTCGTTACTACAAATAAACGAGAAACTTACAACGAAATAAAACAAAAACTTACCATCCTATTACACCATTAAGAACTAGCAGAATACAAACACGTTCCACACAACATTTTAGCCGTCCATGATCAGAATCAACGTAGCTTGTTTCCGGTTGGATCCAAAATGGAAGACAATCGATACCAAAGTTCTGGGGATTAGGCGACTAGCGACATCGTTTGTGTGTACTGTGTACTTCGTTGGAGTAACTCGAATAATTCCTGATAGATGTTGTGAGTGCTGCGTGTAATTACGAACTAATCTTCTTCCATTCAAAGATTGAGTCCAAGTTGACCCGCTCAAGGAAAAGAAAAATTGTTGGCTACTACTGGTTTTCCTCGTATAAGTAACTCGAACGAATGATCATCGAACTGCAGACGGCGATCTAAACATTGTTATGTGCCTTTATGACGAAAGTAATTTCGTGTGCGTTTTATTAACGCAGCTGCTGTAGTGATTGCATTTGTTTCGAGCTAGCATTGTGAAAAACTGACTTCAGCTCTTAATGATCTCTTTAATAGTCCGTATTTGCTCTCTGTTGATTATCATTCCCAGCTCTCAGATATTCATTTTTAATTGCTTCCTACAACAAACATGCATACTACATTGTTTAAAAAACTGTGGTTGTTTACGTCATGGAGTTGGCGGGGAGGTTGTATGACGTTTAAATAGCAACGGCATATCCCAAAACTCATTGTTTATTGTTATAAACTCTTACGTTGCTGAGAAACAGCTGGTAAACAATAGGTTATGAAGTCTTGGGCTGCCCATAAACAGTATAAAAAGTGTTAAAAGAGCTGTGTGAGAAAGAATGGCTTTCTGGAAGTCAAATGTTCCTAGATTTCAGGAAAACATTAGTAAGTATATTATTGCTTACGTATTTATTCCTAATTAAATATTAATGCAGTTCATTGTACAGCTAATCTGTTTTAATATCAAAATGATATCAGTTAGGAACTTCAAAATTCACGTAAGCTTCAGAAATCAAAACGAAAAAACAGCTGCAGTGTTCTTTAGACGTATTTTTGTTTCATCAGGTCTAATTCTGAAGCACCAAAGATCAAGATTTGCGAAAACAATAATTTTCCGATTTTTTTTTGTGTATTGGAGTAACATATTGCGAAGTTTCAAAACAAATTGTTATTTGGATATTTTTTTTAATAATATCTGAGTGACAATAAATGGGGAAAATGAGCGAAACTCGCCAAGAATAGAGGCAAGGAACGCGTAAAGAATTTTGGTACGAATACATTTTGTAAAACAATTACATGGAATGTATCTTATATGATCAAATCTAAAACTTCTTGACGATGGTGAAGAGTCAATTGAATAAAAATTTACGTTTTATTACTAGACGATGGATAATATCCAAGTAAATTTTTATTTAATTGTATCTTATATGAGCTCATTTATGGGGACGCGAGATTGATTAAGCTGGCTCAGGATAGTTTCCAAAGGCGCGTTTTGTTATTAGTGGTGCTTACCTGCATATTTGTTGCCTCATTTGAGTACATAACCAAATTCTCCAAATTTTATTTTGTCGTCGTTGGTTCTATGACGTGCCATTTGTCACACATCTCGCGAAAAATCTGTTTCATGAACCATTTGAAGCAGCTAAGTTAAAGAACACAACGGACAGATGGTAGCAAGGATGACTGGTGAATTAGGAATGCAAGAATTAAGTGGGCGTTGCCTATTTCACATCACTTTTAACAGAGCTTCTTGCTTCCTATTAATTACATCAACTTCTGGATTTCAAACACTTTTTTAAAATTTAGAAATTTACGAAATTGGGCCCCGTCTTCAACTTGGTAGTGTCTAAGCAACAATCGAGAGATTTTTTCCTAGAAACCTATAAACAAATGAAGGGTGATACATACAATCGATAGTGTGTAGAAATCGAGAAATACGGCAGGTGTGGCAACATTGAGCATTTTCGTGTCAGCTTCGCTGCACTACCAACCTGACAAACTTTTCCCTGAGACCAAATGTCCCTAGCAGAATTTGCTGTACTGTTCCTGTGTCCCCATCCCAAATAAGCCTTTTATTGACCATAAACTTCCTTCCTTGTTGCATTATGTCATAAGCGGCTTCATTACGTCATACATCTTATGGTGGCTGGCTACGGACTGTCCGCCCGAGATTCGATCCCCGGAAGGGGCAGAGGATTTTTCCTCTGTCCTCCGCGACCAGACCGGTTCTGGGGCCCACCCAGTCTCCTATCCAATGGGCACCAGGGTCCTTTCGCGGGGGTAAAGCGCGTACGAAGCGTGACACTGGCCTTCCTATCTCCCCCCAAGCGCCTACATGGCGTACAGTGGGACAGCTTTGCTTTTCTTAGGTTCATATACTTTCACGCATTCTAAAAAAAAGAGATAATTTTTCGCTTTCTTACAAAGCATGTACTACTCATTTTTTAACTTGCTTCTTGCATAACATGAGAGCAATTTTAACTCTGAAACAATATGATCTGTAATGCTGTAATTCTGTGGTTATTTTCTAGGCTCTGCACCCCCTCCAACGAAGTATGCGCCAAAGAGCAACATCACAGTGAAGGGATGTGTCTCATACGACAAGCAGGCGATGGCCCGCTTTGATGCGGGGCAATGCCAAACCGCAGATAAATATGGAAAAATGACCACGGTAACTTTTCTTACATAATTAAATGCAAAGAGTAGGGTCCTACTTGAAAAGATGATCAGTGCTTAGCTGATCAAGAACCCAAAAGTTCATGACCATGTTCACAAGAGCAAGATAAATGTATTCCACATCTTCACACCCTGCTTTCAAGATCCATTTTAATATTATCCTACCATTTGTGCCTAGGTCTCCTCAGTGGTGTTCTGTCTGAAAGTTGTCCCTATGCACACTACATGCATGTCACCTTCTCGCCTTCTTTGATTCAGCCACATTTTGTAAATATCCATTGCGAATATGTGCCTTCCTTTCATAATGTGCGTAGATTGGAAACAAACAGGTTTGCTGTGTGTCTGTCTGTCCATTTGTATGTTTCAACTCCAGAGTTGCTAGACAGTTTTTTATGGAATTTGGTATGAACGTTATGCCATCGTAGATTACCACATATTCATCAATTTCAATTTGCTGCAGTTGATAATGACGTGGAAGATTTGTGGGATGGGTGTGACACCAGCAACTTGTGCTAAAGTAATTTTCGTAGAAGTCGCTCGTCAATAGTTTTGAAATGCGTGGGCTGTTCCAACGCCTTCCACCACGTTGACTGTACCGAGTGCTAGAATGCTTAATACGAATGCATGATAGAGTGTAATATCCCTTCCTCTGCTACTGAACAATTTTATTACTAAATTTGTCCTGGGAGTCTACACCAAACGTTATGGAACAAATTTAGCTTAAGTCTGAATCAATCTCACAGACGCGCAGACTCTGAAACTCTTTGTGTTACATTTATCATTTTTCCTGCTACGTCCTCTTAGTTCCAAGTGTGTCAACATCTTCTACTCCAGGGACTAATTCACAGTCGAGTTTACTTTAATATCTACTTGTAAATTGTTTTTGACGTAAATACGTCTACATTTTAGGGTCAGTGTCATTCGGCAAAAATATATTACGAAAAAGGAAAACGAAAAAGTGTAACTTCATTGTTATGTTACCTAGGAAACGTCATCTGTTTATCAACAAATAAACAACAATGGTTACCTTGGAAACCACAGTATATTAGATTACCTTACATTACATTACATTACATTACATTACATTACATTACATTACATTACATTACATTACATTACATTACATTACATTACATTACATTACATTACATTACATTACATTACATTACATTACATTACATTACATTACATTACATTACATTACATTACATTACATTACATTACATTACATTACATTACATTACATTACATTACATTACATTACATTACATTACATTACATTACATTACATTACATTACATTACATTACATTACATTACATTACATTACATTACATTACATTACATTACCTTACCTTACATTACATTACATTACATTACATTACCACACACACATTTGTACACGCATGTGTGTAGGCGGGTCCTTATGTGCTGCAGGTTTAAACATTCTTGAGTGTACTTTCATTTCTACAAAACTGGCAAAAATTAAAACATTAAATATCGAGATACGTGATGATTGATGGTTGTGTGGAGAATTTGTTAAAGATCATCAAAACTTGGATTAACACTATGTAAAATGATGCACTGTCCATGTTACAATTACTATTTTAAAATTTGGGGTTCATTGTAGTCTAAATAATTAATAAAAATTATGCCATTATTTGGACAGTTGAGTAATCAGTCTTTTTTTTTAAAATGTTTTCTTCTTTCTTTCTTCGGCATGTTACATTATTGTAACAGGTGCAGTTTTTTGTTTCTATATCAATCTTTAAAATGGGTGCGAAACATGGTCTCTCGCTCTGACAGAAGAACACAGATTGCATGTCTTTGAGAATCGGGTGTTGAGGAGGATATTTGGGTCTAGGAGAGAAGACGATGGGGCATGGAGAAAACTGCATAACGACGAACCTAAAAATTTATACTCCTCCCCCAATATTATCAGGGTGATGAAGTCGAGAAGAATGAGATGGGCGGGGCATGTAGCGCGCATGGATGGGTCAAGAGGTGTGCAACAGGTATTGGTTGGGAAGCGTGAGGGGAAGAGATCTCTGGGGAGAACTAGACATAGATGGGAGGATAATGTCAGGTGGGATATATGGGAGATAGGAGTTGAAGGAGACTGTATTTTGTTGGCCCAGGACAGGGTCCGGTGGAGGGCTTTCGTTAATTCGGGTGATGAACCTTCGTGTTCCCTAAGCAATCTATTTATTTAGTTAGTACCTTTCCTGAAGTTTAAAGTCATTCATTAAGAATGCTCATTCGTGTGTAGATGACAATGAGCACACTCAAGAACTTGCGGGCACGCTGACATGTGACTGCATTCTTGACACTTGGCTATCTTAGATGTTAGGATTCATTTATTCACGTGACCTTGAAATTGAAAACCCAGTGTTTATCACATCTGTAGGGTGAGGCCATGTACTCGTGTAGGTGAATACCAACATTTTATACACTCCTCTCAAATGGTGATAACCACCTATGAATAGAATATGTAATAGTTTTACAAGCCTGGTGTAAACTGAGAGAGTTACTGAGAAAATACACTGAGAAGGTTGATAATAACTGACTAATGTAGCTGTGTCAAAGTGGGACACGACTGATTGAGAAAAAAAATATCCAGTCCCTTAGGATAACAGGTAATTGGGGTTTTCTGTAAATTATAAGTTTGTTCCTTTCAGAGAAACGGTACATATAGCGTGAGGTCGAGTAAAGTAAGAAGTGAAATAGAGAGAAATAAAGGAACATCTTCTACGAGAAAGAAACGGAATATCATAAAGCCTGCAGTGAAACAAAAATTGTCTAAAGAACAGGTGAGAGTCAAAATATCAGTCTACATTTCATATTATTTCTTTTTTATTTTATTTATATGTCTGCGCTATGTATATTTAGAATGTCCATAATCACTAAAAATTTAATTTGTGGAAATACTGAATGTAGTCTCTGAGTTAAAGCGGAATTTGCCTGAAACAAAATACACCGGTTTCTTGTGTCTGGTAACTGAGTTTCCTGTATCTTGTAATGCTACTTCTTTCAGTCAAAGAGTACATCTAGCCTGACCTCGGGGAAACGCAGCAGTGAAATAAAGAGAGAAATCAGAAATCCTGCATCGAAAGAACAGGTGAGAATCACTACACGTTGCGTTTGAGGAAGTACTGAAAGTAGTCCCCGAGTTAAAAGCGGAATTTGCCTGAAACAAAATACATTTAGGACTCGGTTTACGCCAGGGTTAGGTTACTGAGATTTCTGGAGTAAAATGAAGCAAAAATATAATGGGAACATATGTAAATACATTAGGTTCCGTTTCAAGATTTTAAGTAATCAACACAAAATACTTCAAAAATGTTTTAATTTATGAAATTTACGAATTGAAAATTGTCAGGTGAGAATCACTACACGTTGCGTTTGAGGAAGTACTGAAAGTAGTCCCCGAGTTAAAAGCGGAATTTGCCTGAAACAAAATACATTTAGGACTCGGTTTACGCCAGGGTTAGGTTACTGAGATTTCTGGAGTAAAATGAAGCAAAAATATAATGGGAACATATGTAAATACATTAGGTTCCGTTTCAAGATTTTAAGTAATCAACACAAAATACTTCAAAAATGTTTTAATTTATGAAATTTACGAATTGAAAATTGTATAATTTTTAAGATGATAATGTTTAAGGCAAAGGAAGAAAATTTACTGCTATAAAAACGATAGAAATGATGTGTTTTTCTTCTTTTCTGATAATAAGTTATAGTATGGCTGTAGAACTATCTCAATTCCTCTCTTAACGGTTGACCTCCGCTTCCAGTTGGGGTCATTGCTACAGAGGATCTCACATCCCTTATTAATAAGAGCAACAGCCTCTTGCATTGATTTCATTGTTAGTGTTGAATTTGACACTTCACTCCATGCCACTGAAATGTTGGAGATTCCTTTCATGATGTCGTATAACTTCTAGTATCCTCTCAACGTGACATTTTCGGGCACTTGAATAGCCTCAGAAATTCCCTTGAGTGTTCTCCATAAGTAATAAGTCTTGAAGGTGGATAATGCTCCTTGTAGTTTATCATTTAGTATTATAGTTTTATTACAATGTTGGGACCATCTGTGTCTAGGAAGTCGAGCAGAGTCACGACTCATCCCCCCCCCTCCAATTGTGATATACGAGAGGTGCAAAAGTGAAGCGGGCGTAAATTGAATCGGCGTAAATCGAGTCCTACCTGTACACTACTTTCCTATGTCTGGTAACTGAGTTTCCTGTATCTTGCAATGCTACTTCTTTCAGTCAAAGAGTACATCTAGCCTGAACTCGAGGAAAGGAAGCAGTCAAATAAAGAGAGAAATCAGAAATCCTGCATCGAAAGAAAAATTATCTAACGAACAGGTGAGAATCACAAAGCCAATGCCCACTTTCGATATTATGTGTTACTTGGATGCATTGCATGAAATGTCTGCGCTACGTGTATTTAGAATGTCCATAATCACTAAAAATTTAATTTGTGGAAATACTGAAACTACCAACCTGACAAACTTTTCCCTGAGACCAAATGTCCCTAGCAGAATTTGCTGTACTGTTCCTGTGTCCCCATCCCAAATAAGCCTTTTATTGACCATAAACTTCCTTCCTTGTTGCATTATGTCATAAGCGGCTTCATTACGTCATACATCTTATGGTGGCTGGCTACGGACTGTCCGCCCGAGATTCGATCCCCGGAAGGGGCAGAGGATTTTTCCTCTGTCCTCCGCGACCAGACCGGTTCTGGGGCCCACCCAGTCTCCTATCCAATGGGCACCAGGGTCCTTTCGCGGGGGTAAAGCGCGTACGAAGCGTGACACTGGCCTTCCTATCTCCCCCCAAGCGCCTACATGGCGTACAGTGGGACAGCTTTGCTTTTCTTAGGTTCATATACTTTCACGCATTCTAAAAAAAAGAGATAATTTTTCGCTTTCTTACAAAGCATGTACTACTCATTTTTTAACTTGCTTCTTGCATAACATGAGAGCAATTTTAACTCTGAAACAATATGATCTGTAATGCTGTAATTCTGTGGTTATTTTCTAGGCTCTGCACCCCCTCCAACGAAGTATGCGCCAAAGGCCAACATCGCAGTGAAGGAACGTGTCTCATACGACAAGCAGGTGACTCCCTGGGTTGATGGTAGGAGATGTCAAACCCAAGTTGGAAAAATGACCACGGTAACTTTTCTTACATAATTAACTGCATAGAGTAGGGTCCTACTTGAAAAGATGATCAGTGCTTAGCTGATCAAGAACCCAAAAGTTCATCACCATGTTCACAAGAGCAAGATAAATGTATTCCACATCTTCACACCCTGCTTTCAAGATCCATTTTAATATTATCCTACCATTTGTGCCTAGGTCTCCTCAGTGGTGTTCTGTCTGAAAGTTGTCCCTATGCACACTACATGCATGTCACCTTCTCGCCTTCTCTGATTCAGCCACATTTTGTAAATATCCATTGTGAATATGTGCCTTCCTTTCATAATGTGCGTAGATTGGAAACAAACAGGTTTGCTGTGTGTCTGTCTGTCCATTTGTATGTTTCAACTCCAGAGTTGCTAGACAGTTTTTTATGGAATTTGGTATGAACGTTATGCCATCGTAAATTACCACATATTCATCAATTTCAATTTGCTGCAGTTGATAATGACGTGGAAGATTTGTGGGATGGGTGTGACACCAGCAACTTGTGCTAAAGTAATTTTCGTAGAAGTCGCTCGTCAATAGTTTTGAAATGCGTGGGCTGTTCCAACGCCTTCCACCACGTTGACTGTACCGAGTGCTAGAATGCTTAATACGAATGCATGATAGAGTGTAATATCCCTTCCTCTGCTACTGAACAATTTTATTACTAAATTTGTCCTGGGAGTCTACACCAAACGTTATGGAACAAATTTAGCTTAAGTCTGAATCAATCTCACAGACGCGCAGACTCTGAAACTCTTTGTGTTACATTTATCATTTTTCCTGCTACGTCCTCTTAGTTCCAAGTGTGTCAACATCTTCTACTCCAGGGACTAATTCACAGTCGAGTTTACTTTAATATCTACTTGTAAATTGTTTTTGACGTAAATACGTCTACATTTTAGGGTCAGTGTCATTCGGCAAAAATATATTACGAAAAAGGAAAACGAAAAAGTGTAACTTCATTGTTATGTTACCTAGGAAACGTCATCTGTTTATCAACAAATAAACAACAATGGTTACCTTGGAAACCACAGTATATTAGATTACCTTACATTACATTACATTACATTACATTACATTACATTACATTACATTACATTACATTACATTACATTACATTACATTACATTACATTACATTACATTACATTACATTACATTACATTACATTACATTACATTACATTACATTACATTACATTACATTACATTACATTACATTACATTACATTACATTACATTACATTACATTACATTACATTACATTACATTACATTACATTACATTACATTACATTACATTACATTACATTACATTACATTACATTACATTACATTACATTACCTTACCTTACATTACATTTCATTACTTTGCATTACATTCAGCTACCACAGACCCATCCTAAGCGTAACTAATTCAAGTTAAATAAGCAAAGTCTTAATCAAACGTTACTCAATTGTAAAGCAGGTATAAAGGAAATATTTAGAATAAAGCCAATATATAAACTTCCTTTCCGTATAGACGTATTTACGTCTAATTCTCTGGAACCGTTGTTCCACTGTAACTTTTTGTTTATAAATCAGAGATTAAGAATGTTCATGTGCGTGTAGATGACAATGAGCACACTCAAGAACTAAGTTCATAGACATTTGCGGGCACGCTGACATGTGACTGCATCTCTTGACACTTGGCTATCTTAGATGTTAGGATTCATTTATTCACGTGACCTTGAAATTGAAAACCCAGTGTTTATCACATATGTAGGGTGAGGCCATGTACTCGTGTAGGTGAATACCAACATTTTATACACTCCTCTCAAATGGTGATAACCACCTATGAATAGAATATGTAATAGTTTTACAAGCCTGGTGTAAACTGAGAGAGTTACTGAGAAAATACACTGAGAAGGTTGATAATAACTGACTAATGTAGCTGCGTCAAAGTGGGACTCGACTGATTGAGAAAAAAAATATCCAGTCCCTTAGGATAACAGGTAATTGGGGATTTCTGTAAATAATAAGTTTGTTTCTTTCAGAGAAACGGTACATATAGCATGAGGTCGACTAAAGGAACGTGTGATACCGCATCTTCTATGCGCAAGACAACAAAATTCATAAAACCTGCAGTGAAACAAAAATTGTCTAAAGAACAGGTGAGAGTCATAATACTTTTCCATATTATTTGTTCTTTGTTTGCATTGCATTAAATGTCTGCACTGTGCGTAATTAGAATGCCCATACTCACTATACGTTTCAATTCTTGATGTACTAAAATAATTTTAATGAAATTTAGTATAATTTTTTTTAATTTTAACCGTCTAATAAAAATAAAATATTTTATTAAATATTAAAATATTATTACTACAATTAACATTTAATATTTCATCTCATGAAATTTAGTATGTTGGGCAAATTTCAGTATGTGCTCTAATGGTCTAATTAACCCCTATTTTCCATTGACGTCGAATCAAACCTTATGCAATTTCCCACAAAATGGCTCACTGTACACAAATCTCGTCTATGTAATATGGTGTGAATAATAGCAAAGAATTCAACTTTAAAACTTCTTTTATTTCAGGAGAGCATTATGGAAAAGCATTCAGACATCAATGATCCGCGTGACAACGTTCTGAACTCAGCTGGTAAATATGTGGTCCCAGTGGAAGAGGATAATTCAACTGATCTGAGGAGAAGAAATAGTCCTTCAACACCCTCAGGCATAACAGAGACCAACTCACAAGCTGCTGATGTCACAACGAGTAAGTTAAAGCCTTCATGACAAGAACAACAACAGGATTTAGAATTGTATATTAGAAAGTTAAGTGACAGCCTGGAATCTCTGCACCTTATGATAAACCTTTGGGTTCTATAACTAACAGATAATTTTGTAACATTTAAATTATTTTGACTTGCCCAAGGAAAATCTTCCACAAACGAATTAAGCAAGTAGATTATTCGTTACTTAGTTACTGCGACCTCTTCTTTACATACTTATGTGTTGCAAGTTTAGACGTAAGTCATGATCAGATGGTCTGTATGGCACAAGAAAAGATTCATCATGTGTGAAAAAGACAACTGATAACGTCCATTGTGATGTTTCTTGTGAATATGGGGAGGCGAGACATTGCCGGAAGTACAAGGAAGAGACATGTTGTGTGGTGTGTTATGGCCGAGATTCCAGGGTTTGCGTGTGACTTTTCTTTCAGTACTGCGAAATTATGCACTTTTACTACGAGACAATTTCTCTAGTTTTGAAACGGTATGTGCAGATATAATTCAGTTCGGCATTGCGGAATATCCCATTATGAGTATCTGGGCTGACAAGCATGCACGAGGCAAATGGAATAACAAAAAAGAGCAGAATTTGCTTTTGTCTTAATGAACAGCTTCATCCGAAACCGATTTCCAGTGTTAGGTCAAAAATGTTTGTAACCTGTTCTATGTCTTAAATGCAAATGAAACGAAAGACCACAGCGATATTCAAATGCGGATGACTGTGCTAATTTGGAGGAGTAATTAATTTGGTTTGCCTAAAAAGTATACAAAGAAACAATCTGCAGAGATCCAGATTTTAAAAAACTCCGGGTGAATTTTGATTATGAAGGATACCTTAAGTATCAGCCCACACCACCACCATTGTACTGATAATTGGACGTGTGACTCGTGTGTTTTATCTGGATCTGATGTCCCATTGGCTAATTACACATCTCGTTAATGTGCGTCTTCTAAATGGCATAATTTTAGAAGACAGGGCTAAAGCCCATTACGCTGGTGATTTTCATACTTTATAGAACAAACAATTTTCGCTGTGGCCTGGGAAAAATGGACCTCTCATCTGGTCTCCGAGATGTCCTGTACTGACCACGCACATTCGATAACTGGGCATGGTCTTTTGTGAAAGAAATGCTTATCGCAATTCACATGCAGTTCGCTGCTGAAATAAGAATAAAGATTCGCAATATCTTCAACACTATTACGTCTGTAAAGCTTCACAGGCCTCCTAACACACTTCGTGATCAATGATGATGCGTGTTCACTTTGACAGAAACTGTACCGATCAGTTGGACAGTTGATGTAGTGAATGGCATGACATCTCTTAATTCCATTAAATTTGCATTGGCATTTGTGTCATGTTCCTTTGTAATTAAAATGCTTCCACACTAAAACACTGCTCCTGTGTTATGTCTTCAGCACCATCTGATCATGAATTTTTGCTATCCCTAGATTCACTCAATCTTTGTTTATGTGCAGAATCCAAACACAATCAGCAAGAAGCCGAGCTCTGGATTAAAATAAAGGCTACTCAGGCACAGCTAAAAGCAGCTGAGGAACGCACGAAGGAAGAAGCTGAATTACTGGAAAAATCCAAGAAAGAAGCCGTAAGTAATAAGTTGAATTCCAAAGATTTATGTAATTTTATGTCTTGAGCAGAATTTTCTGTAATGTCACTTAAACGTAAAAGGAAAACGGGCGTGGATTTGTGTTTGCGGTTTAACGCCACAACATTAATACATACAGGAAAGCGGAGCTGAAGCACCTCAGCATATTCTTAGGTTTTGCAATCGTACGTGCGAGTGACCAGTTCCTTCCGCACAGTGGACCCCTAACCCAGGAAAAGAGCACCCGGTGCCCACTGAACAGGTTACTGGGTGATGTGCTTCTTAAACAAGGTGTTTGACCCTGGTCCCTCCTCATCCATCATTCATAATCATTCCTGTAAAAATCATCGTAACAGTAAAAAATACTAGCATGGCAATGCACTATTCTATGTAAAGTCTCTCTTTCCTTAACCCTTTGAAGCCGAAGATCATTTTTCCTTTAGTTGGATGAAGTGCATGACCTGAGCAGATCACTGACAGGGTTGAAAAGCAAAAATGAAGAGTTGCAAGAGGTAATAAGCAATAACCAGATGATGATTGGAAAGACGGATCATCTGCTGTGTCAGCAGTGCAAACTCTGGAAAAGATGTGAAGACTTTAAGCAAGACAAACAGGTATTCAAACAAAATGACCTGATATCATGTATTAAGAATTATTTCTATATATTTGGACATTTGACAGATTCTTAAAAATTAAATGATGCTGAATAAAACCATAAAAACGTCGATCAGGACTTTTAAATTAAATTTTCAAGCTTCGGTTTAACCTGTTAAATGTAGCGACAGACATGATTAATAACAGCAGTTGAGTCAACCTCACAAACCTTATGCCACATCATTTAAATTTACTGTATCGTGGCGTTATGAGATTGGTTAGTTTAAACGCTGTGTAAATATTAAATTTTAGTAAATTCAATGCAGCAGGTAATATTTTATTCATTAAGCAAAATTTTTTCTTTAGTGGAACCACGTGGTTAACCTGTACACAGCACTAACAGGCATCAGCAATGAAAATGAGGACATTCAAAATCTAATAAAGGAGAACCAGATGATGATTGGAAAGCCAGCTCTTCTGCTGTGTCAGCAATGCAAATTCTTGAAAAGACGTGAAGACTTTAAGCAAGACAAACAGACAGAACAGGTATTCAAACAAAATGACCTGATATCATGTATTAAGAATTATTTCTATATATTTGGACATTTGACAGATTCTTAAGAATTAAATGTTGCTGAATAAAACCATAAAAACGTCGATCAGGACTTTTAAATTAAATTTTCAAGCTTCGGTTTAACCTGTTAAATGTAGCGACAGACATGATTAATAACAGCAGTTGAGTCAACCTCACAAACCTTATGCCACATCATTTAAATTTATTGTATCGTGGCATTATGAGATTGGTTAGTTTAACCCTCCGGCGCTCGCATCCACCGCTGGAACGTCCCGTCTAGCAATTGAGCAAATACTTAATCAGATTATTACTAACTTTTAATTTATTTATGGAGTTACAATTAAGAGACTGATAAAATGTTAAACATTGTATAAATGTCCAATTAGAACTTTGATTTCATTGATTGAAATTTCTAAGCAGTCTCTTTGCCTGGAATAATTTTCTATAATTTTACCCAGTTTTTCATTTCTGAATTTTGTGATATCACCCCCATCCCAAACTGAGTAGCAAGATCAGAGACACGAACACCATTTTCATGTTTGGCTATGATTTCTTTCTTAACATCTATCATGATATTGGTATTTTTTCTTTTCACTTTGCTGCTTTCTTTGGCTCCATGCTGGATCATTCTTCTACGAATACTGCCGACGCTGATACTCCCAGCTTATCGCTTGCGTGTTCGTAACTCGAGACACAGTACGCCATCCGAGACGCTTTTTGTTCGGAAAATTTGTTCGTAAACTGAATTGTTCGTGAACCGAGGTTTGACTGTATTCACTTTGGAACACAAACACTCCCGTGTGAGCGGGCCGCCGCACTATTAGAATTCTAAAAGTAAACTGAAAAAAGTTGGTCTGTGGTCGTAGCTAGAAACATTTCCTTTGAAATTTCCATGGAGGGGGGTTTCCTCTTAACATAGATAAAGCAACAAGAGAGAAAACAATTCCTAGAAAGAGTTATCAGACTTTTACTAAAAATGCGGCGCTGCGCTCACAAAATATTAAGTTTTAGTAAATTCAATGCAGCAGGTAATATTTTATTCATTAAGCAATGCAAAGTGCAAAATATAAAAAAACATTAATATAACTGTCGTTCATTTTCAAGGTGGACAAGAAGATTTCAGCGCAAGCAGATAAAATGAAGAAATTGACAGTGGAACTAGATAGAAAATTTACTAAAGTTACATATTTAAAAAGTCAAATTGAAGAAATGCAACAGAAGAAGATTAGTTTGCAAGAAAAACGTGCATACCGTGATGGAAGTATTGTACGGCTGGAGTTTGCCTTTGAAAGAGATAAGGTCCACAGTCCATCACACCAACACATGAATGGAGACGTGAAATTCTGCTAAATTTGATCGTGCTACCCTCAAACTTCCTGCTTCTGGTATCCAAACACTAGCTGTATGACAACTTCAACATTACCAGTCTAAAAGTGCATGAAGTTAACAAATTCTATCTTTGAAGATGACTCTCTTCAGAGATGTTGCGCGATGTTTCAGATGGCCTACTGTCCCCACCACCATAGCCTGAGAACAGAAATATCGAGGGAGAAATTGGGAGAAGGGGCAGACCACAGTGGAATTACATGATTCAGAAATGCTCATTGCTCCTTCACCTGGTCTCAATAGAATGGCCGGTCTTACCACTGCAGGACTGACCTCATTTGCTGGGTGTTCTGATCTTCAAGGAGGCCCACAAACTCAGTGTTGTGGAGGACAGAAGCTTTCTGATGTGGTTGAAGGTCGTGCTGACAGAAGGAAGGAAGGCGACAAGGAACAGGTTTCTCTGGGCTGACCCTGATAGACTGAGGATCTGATAGCTGCTGCAGCTATTTTGCCTCAATGTGGCCCTTAAGATCATCATGTAAGAAGTTCCCGCACGCACAGTAACCTCTATCTTGATTAAAACTCTCACCAACCTTCTAAAAAATAGCATGAACTCTATGCTGTCAAAAAAGGGCCCGGTCGCTGTGTGACCGGGGAAACCTGTATGAAGAGGTGGAGTTTCTCTGGGCCAATTTCAGGCAGAATGGCGACAGTAACTAGCAGATCTGATGGGCTCTCAGTCCACCAGAGAGATGCCCCAGCCCTAGAGAAGCCTGTCTGTTGCCTTCCTTCCCTTCATCAGCATGACCTTGAACTGAATCAGCAAACTCCTTCTCAATTTCGTTCAGCCTGTGAAGGATGACTTAGGACTCGGTACTCCAGAGTTGCCACCAAATGCAGATACATGGACCAGATGATTATCAGGGAGACGATTAGGTTCAAACTACACCCTGATAAGAACAGAAATCGTAGTCTGCATCTGAGCCACTCCATCAATGGACGTAGGAGGCCTCTGCTTGCTGTTTCCTCCTTTAATGCCCTCTCGTCTGGCCAAGGTTCTACCTTATTCAACCTGCACCCATATCTCAAGAAAGATTTTCACATGCAGCTTACTAATGATGGAGACAGTGACAACCTCTGAATCATCAGTAAACTTCCACCAGATTACACAGTGCAACATCTCGGAAGATAGTCATCCTTTAGCCATAACAACCTGAAACATCACAATTGTACTCTTCAAAGTCAATTTTTTGAATCTCTGTAACCATCGGTGCAGTAGGGGATGTATGAATATCAGTTCAAAGTGCAAAATATACTTTAACATTGATTAAACTGCGGGTTCTTCAAATTCAAAGCTGCATTTATTCTGAAAATGGTTAAAATAATTATTCCTTTTATTAATATTGTATTGGTTTACTAAGTGCCGTCTTCATTACAGATGTCATACTTCACGCTAGGTACAACTGATTTCTTGTTATGATTCTGTTCCGGTCATAGTCATCCCATACGGTAACTGCGCAATTGATTCATTCTAAACTGACAGTAGACTAAAATAGAATAATAAATAGCCCTTTACAAAACGAAATGTCCCCCAAATTCTGGATCCTTCTATCCACAAACACAGCAACATCACTGCTGGCTAAGGAACTTCCAGAAAATGTTCCGAGAATGGCCGACGTGCGTTAACCATTAACCATGAACCATAAACGGCGTACAGACACGTGGTGAAGCCAACCACGAACGTGTAATAAAATGGCTCAACCACAAACTGTTCTTGTATAGTCTTGATACATGCAAAGGAATGCAGGAAGTCCGTAGCGCACCCCGCAAGTCACATGATTACAGTCGTGTCCTGTACCTGTAACATCTCTACAAATCTTGGCCTTCGTCTGTTCACCCACGAAGATGTGATCGACGAGTGGGAATGGACTCCTATTCTCCACTATCAATTCTTTTAAGTCTTGTATTTTTCCTGGGCTCCTAAGCCATCGCTGTGCACATCACAACGTCGAAGACGGCCCTGAATCTAACGAAGTGTTATGTAGCTAGTACATTCTTCCAACATTGACTGCTTTGCGTTGTTTATAGTTAAACTAGAGCAAAACGCTCCTTTCATCTATCAAGGTCATTCGGCAAAAAAGTGTAACGAAGATGGGTCACAAAAATTTGTAAGATTAATATCAACAAATCGAAAACAATGGTTACCCAGGAAAAGTCATCTGTTTACTCGGCATACAATGAAAGTAAGGGGGTTAAAATCTTGAGTAAGACACTAAAATAATAGTTTTGTGTCTTACTCAAGTGTTTTAATCCCCTTCCTTTCTTTGTATTTATTGCCTAAATATAATTTAAATACAGAGACGTATTTACGTCAGATTCTCCTGAACCGTGGTTCCACTGACAACTTTTTATTCTTCTGTTAAGTAGTTCTGATGTTTTACTTCTTTACGTCGCTGTTCAGAGGCCAACTCCTCTTGGTCAGTCAACTTTCTACGTCCAGCCCCACCCTTGCAAATAGCTGAATGCCAGCGAGGAAGGTTTCGGTAATGATTTCAAGATTGAAGTTCGTAGTTTTGCAAACACAATTTATTTCTTTTTGCAATTAACATTCACTGACCGAATCGAGCTACAAAACAATTCAGGATGTTGCTTCGTCTGAATTCCAGAAAAGAGTGTCCTCGAAGAAAACTTTCCCGTCCTTTAGTCACAGGACTCCCCCCCTTAACTTTCACAAAAAAATGATCTATTTGGGCAGTAATGATGCGATGCTCTCATTGGTCAGATCAGTCCCAGTTCATGTGGACCATTCAAAGTGAAACGCGTAAATCTTTATTACTTGTTTCCAAATTATATTTTCATTTGTGCCTCACTGGGACTCGAACCCAGAACGCGCGGTCACATTCAGATGTTTTAGTTCTTTACGTCGCTGTGCGGAGGCCAACTGTCAGTCAGATCTTCATTTTCAAGAATGTGATGTGTTGCTTCTGGGGCAGTGACCATGCGACTGTCTTGGTAGTTCGTGATCTCGTCATTGTAAAGCGTTTTTTGTTTTATGACGTCCTTTCGTATATCAAGGTCATTCGGCAAAATATTGTAAAATAAATATCAACAAATCAACAACAAGGGTTACCTAGGAAACGTGATTTATTTACTCGGCATTTTTGTTACCTAGCAACAATATAAACAATCTGAGTGAGCAGTTGAAACTATGGTTTCAAAATAGTTGATCATTGCATTGTCAGACAGCGAAGGTGAAACATTACAAGAAGTCAAGTTGTCAAAGTGTGAATTAATTAACGAAGACTACATCGATAAAAGAAACAAACGAGTGTTGCTGAAAAACGTGAGTCGAGAATCTCGCCCAAAACTGGATAACACGTTTGATATTGTGCTGTTTGAGAAACATACATAAGCAGAAAATAACGACAGCGTGTACCAGAGTACACGGGGTTTAAAGGTGTTTTGAATCATTCTGTTGTGTAGCCTCGCAGCTGTATATTAATCGTAAAGAATATAAATTTAGAACTTTCTAAAATTTGTAAATTTATTTTGCTTAACAAGGGAGATGTACGTTGCAGAGAAGTGTTGAAGATATTATGTGTATTATGGTAGGGAATACACATTCAGAGATTGTTAAAAGTTGTTTTCTGTCTTCTGTATATTCTTCTAACGGAAAGTGATTGTAGAGAGAACATTTGATATTCTGAGGACCCTTGTTTTGTGTTATGGATTAATCAATAACTGACTTGTATCGTGTAATAGAAACTCTGAAATGTTTCATAACTTGCTAATTTTAAAGCGAAACCATTCATTAAAGAAAGTGCATGTTATTTTACACAACCTTATTTTGTGTTTCAATAAATGTAGTCTTCCTAAAATCTTCTGTGACAAATGTAAATGAATAGCAGTGCAACACACAAACAGCCAATGCACACATGATTTTATGTGTGACTGAAGTTTACAGATTTCAAAGTTGAGACAAATGTTTAACAATAAAAATTAACATTATGAACTTACAGAGAATTCTTGGATTATAAAATGCTGCATTCTGTGTGTCCTCAGGTTAATCCTCTACGCAAATGGACCCATTTGAAGTAACAAGTATTTGTCTCGTGAGGGAAATGAAAGAAATCTTCAAAACTCTGACTGGGAGTATCAGAGCATTAAACGAGAAGTGTATAAAGCTGGAAAAACAGATCGGGATATTCCGTGCAGACAGTAAGTATGGTGGAATTCTGTGTATGTACTGAGTCGAAGGGTGCAGGCTATAAATCACATCAGTATGATATTCTGTCAATTA